GAACAAGTAGGATATCTTTCAGACATCTCTAAGATGCTTTTGGAGCAAGGAGACTCTCAGGCCCATATTAATAGTCGCTGTCTTGTCCCGCGTGAGTTATTCAGACTCGAATTCGGGGTTTGCTGTGAATCTTTTAATATATAATCATATAATATATGCGACGTTACGTGTGTGGTCGCGATTGAGCTGAAAGACTCGCATCTAATTCTAAGCTCAGATCTGAGTATCTCGCCTGAGGCACGTAACGGCCATTAACTCGAGTCTAGAAAAGTTAGAGAGTACATATGAATTGAAATCATATCTGACGCGCGATTAGAAAAGGTTCGATCGTGAAAACACTGGACCTCGTGCTAATGTTGTTGTGAGACAACTAGCTAAAAAAAAGAAAGAAGTAAATAAAGATACCGATTCATCGTATACTTGGCAGGAACGTGCGTACGATAGACCTTGACTCGACGCATGTCATACGAGAATCCCGGCCTCGTTGTGCGATCACCGGCCGCGCGGGATTGTGTTGAAATTTCTCGAGTAAATTTAGACGCGTCGTTATTCACTACCGTCGCGTATTTCGACGAATTCTCGCTGCGAAATCGTGCGGAATAAAAAAAGAATTTAATTCCCTCTCTCTCTCTCTCTCTCTCCCTTTTTCTTTCTCTTTCATAACATCTTGCAGGATGTTCCTTCTCTTACTTTTTTTATAAAATACGCAAATGGCTTGCGACTACGTACAATCGCGCGTACATGGTTTTATAGCGCCGGCGACGCCGATAGATATTTCTCGCGGTATTTGCAACACACTTTTCCGCGTCGGGTCTTGCGATTTACGCCCGACGTTGTCGCGAGACAGATGGGACGTGCACGATTTATCGGCGATTCTTGCGGGCGTTGCGGTATTAAAACAGGCCGCGTCGTCAATTCGTCAAGTATTCGTACGGCCGGCAGGTCGGCGTTTCTCTGAAAATTGAAAATCGCGACACACTCGTCGCGTCGCACTCGAGGCGAGTGTTACTTCACGGATCGCGGAAACAATGCGATTTCTCGCGCGCGCGCGGTCTACCGCAATTCTCGCGTTAAGTCGGCGCGATTAAGCGGTTGATCGACTGCCAACTGACGGATTGTCGCGTCGCTGTCGATTCGCAACGGTCACTTTAAACGCGGGACTTTAACGACATCCGCGCACGCTGTTCTCCGGACGTACGCGTCGCGAAAAGCTAGCTAGCTGTAATAGAAGACGCGAGAAAACGCGAGCGGACGGAATTGGCGAGCGACGATATTACGTCGACCGTTATTATTCTAATGTCAGTTTCCACCACGTCGATTAAACTTTAATCTGAGCTGAAATTCTACTCGGACGAAATTTTTTGCTCGAGCGAAGGTTCTGTCGTTTCGGGACGCACTGAGAGAAGAAATAGGTAAAATATCAAAGATACACGCGCAAATATCAAAGATAACGTTTCATACGATGACCTCAAATATCTTTTGAGTAATTTATTTTAAAGGAAGATGTTTCAGACAATAGTCGACATGAAATCTTAAGAAATGATGGATTTCAGAAAAAATTATATCTTTTACCTCTCTCATGTTTCATCTGCTCTGCATTAGCCGTGCAATTTATAAGGCTAATAGTATTTTCATAAGAACTCAATGGCACTCAATCTGTTAACGATCGTGTATAATTAATGAAACAACTGTCGGCCGAGTTTTACATAATATTCTTACAATGAATATTTAGCTCCCTCCTCTCTCTCTCTCTCTCTCTCTCTCTCTCTCTCTCTCTCTCTCTCTCTCTCTCTATTTATCTATCTATCTCTCTCTGCGTCTAGTAAAGCGGGATTCTAATTTACGCCTCTTCTGCAAGATACCTGAGATAAATAACAGGTGATCGCTCTCGGATGGTACACCTTGTCGCGTGTCGCGTTCTGCACCCGCATATCAATTCGCGGAATAGTTGATAATGTAAAAGAGTCGACGCGCGATCTTTGCAGCAATGCGTCCTCCTAAGTAACGCTTTTATGCACGTGAATGAGTTCTTGAGGACTCGTTATGCTTATCGGGCACGCGTGACTAGCATAAAGAGATCATCGCGTTACCATATTACGTACACACGTACGCATACACACGCATACACACACAAACAGGCGAGTTTACGTACACATATGTACGCGATATGCATGTACACGGAGAAAAATAATTTTGCTCCTTTAGCAAAACCGTCGTTGCTAATGCATATTCGTAGTCACATCAAAAAAATTTAGTTGACGCAACTAATTTTACAAATTATTCGTTATCAGAGCAGAAGTAATTTCGTTGCCAGGATAGAAAAAATTTGTTGAGTGTATTTGTTCTAAGAATCACGCTAATTTGCTATTTCCTCTCTAAAAAAAGACATGTAAGAGATTTAATTGTTGCCGCTTTTCCGCGTTGCTGATTGGTTCCCTCGCTTAGTTCACTTCATGTGGGCTTGCTTCGTGTCGTTTCCGCCTGTCAAATTATCAGGTAAATAGCTGACATTGCGTTTGTTAGGTCACGAAAAAAAAATATAGAAGAGATATGTCTCTTCTGTCTCTCCTTGCCTCTCCTATCTCTCCTGTCTCTCCCTGTCTCTCCTTGTCTCTCCCCGTCTCTCCTCGTCTCTCCCCGTTTCTCCCTGTCTTTCTCTGTCTCTCCCTATCTCTCCCTGTTTCTTCCTATAATTATTAATTAATTAAAGTATATTTTAATTTAATTTAATTTTAATTTTATTTTTATTCTACATTTTTTATTGTTTTTTTATTAGCTATATGGCGCGCGCGCAGCGCGCACATGTATTGTTCTAGTGATGCAAAATAATGTATTCTTAGCAAATTTATTTGCTATTGGAAACTGCAACTGCTTATATAAATCCATCATGGTTCTTATAGCAAAATAATTTGTAGATGCAGCAAATTATATCCAGCAAATAGTGATTAGTACTCTTAGCAAATTTTTTCTGTTCGTAAAATAAAATTTTGCTAGACCAGCAGAAAATTTGCTGGGCCAGCAAATTATTTTTCTCCATGTATTACTGTGTGAAGATAGCTATGCATCTACATACACATACATATACATGCGAATGAATTCCAACAATTGACGAAATTGTCAGTCCACATTATGACAGTTGAAACTTATTCATTTATTCCCAATTTTTGGGAATTAATTTTAAGCAAATGGTTAAATCTACAGAACTAATGTTTTATACTAACATTTATTTATCTTTAAAAAAACATTTCGAATTTTTTCAAAGCTTTTTATTCAAAATTGGAGACAACACAAGTGGACAAAACAGGTCACGCTATAAAATCGTCTTCCAACGAGCGTGTTGATTCTCGTCATCTGAGATAAACGAATTTGCTTTTATTTTGCTCTTTATGAATATGGCTATCGTTCAAACTAGAATTAAATAATTTGAAGAAAAATTGACAAAATGGCGGCTCTTGAAAAATAGTAGCTTGATTTTTACTAAAAAATTCTAACTTTTCGCAATCTGGAAAAAATAGTAATTTTAAAGATATTAAAAGATATCTAGTTCAGACACATTATAGTCACATTCATAAAGAACAAAATAAAGGCAAATTCGTTTATTTCAGACGACGAGGACGGCGACAATCAACACGCCCGATGGAAAACGGCGTGATTTGAATCCACTTGTATTTTCTCCAATTTTAAATAAAAAACTTTAAAAAAATTTGAAATGTTTCTTCAAAGATGAATAAATGTCAGTAAAATATTAACTCTGTAGGTTTAACCATTTGCTTAAAATTAATTCCCAAAAGTCGGGCTTTGAAAACAGGTCTTCACACTCGAATACTCCCTTAAATGTTTTTTTTCCGACATCGATTCTCATCGGCCCGTATTGTCAATCGAGCAAATCCAGTGACTGAAATTGAATTAGAGGCCGTTTGCTTAGTAAGAACATAGTCACACGTCATCATCTACGTCACACCATCGTGTACACAGCCGTGCTCAGGTGTTGCCCGTTTCAATCTAAACGATCAGAGTTGTCTGACGTTTATGTGCACTTTACGCGATGTTTTCATATTTAGATAGAATCGCGTCGCTCCCGCGATTATAAAGCATGCCTGTTGCATGTCTCATTAGCACTACGCTGCTATTAGGTCGGACGTATGCGGGAATCGAAGTGCACGCGACTGTCGAATAAGGAGATCCCTAGGCGTGCATTGAGAAAAATCGGATAAAAAAAACAAAGTCTAAGGACCATATTAATAGTTGTCACTTGAAACTTGTCTCATGTGAGATACGCAGATTTTTATTCAGAGTTAGATCCAGAATTTTCAATTGAATTATATGACATACGTGACTTTATATCTGTAAGTGTGATTTAACTGAAAAACTCATCTAATTCTGAACTGAAATCTGAGTATCTCACTTGAGAGGGACTTTGACTATTATATGAGCCCAGAAGCAGCAACCGATGAAAATTTTCTTTGACTGAAATAATGGGTAAGTGGATAATCGAAGTTAATCAGTCGTCAAAATCATATACAAAGTCACAAATAATTTCGTCGATTGATCGAATTAGTTATCAATGAGTGTATAATCGACTGCTCGAAAATTTAAATAACAATGACTTTCATCAGTCTATGAAGGTATTTCTGATCTTATACGTAATGATTGATCAATTTTGATCATTTTTTATTTTGATTATTGACTTACCAATTGTTTTAGTGAAAGAAAACCTGCGTTAATTAACATCAGCATTAACATCAATATTGATATCGCAAATTTTCTCGCGCAAGCCGCACTATCATTTTATTTGCGACTGTCTCGAATGATGATCTTTCGCGGTCGAACCGATATCCCGGTCGAGATGTCCCGAGACGAGCGCGTAGCTTCTCGGTTTCGTTGCTCAAGCGTGATTACGCGACAGGACGTAAAATAATCGCTACACGAATGCATTTTGTCGTATCTGCGCGAACAACAACAAGTCCCGCGAAGCGTTGCTGCCAAAAAGCAGGTATCACCTGTCAGTCACGCCCGAGATCATTGATGCTGTGGCTGAAGTCCGCGGGCTGCGTCGTCTCCCATCGATCTTTCTTCCTCTTCTTTTTGGTCAAAGCGATATCCCCCTTGGAGTGACGCGCGATAAATCCACAGCGATATCGATCTCGACACGAGTCTCGCGCGCAAATAAACAAACAAGGAAAGAGATCGGGCGCGCCGGGCAAGGAGGCGACCTCAGCGACTTCAACGACATCGCGATCGTCGAGCAAGCGCGAGTGTTCGGCGAATGTTGGTGAGGAGACGAAAGAGGCTATGATGCGGCCAACCTTCCAACCTCTTCCAAGTATATTTTTGAAAATCGTGGCGGGGCCTTATATAATGAGTAAAAGAGCGGGAGGGTGTCCTGAAAATTGATTCGCACGCGCGCGCGCGCTCACTCACACTACGTGTTTCCGCGTCGCCGTGAAAGATCGCAGCTTATTCGGCAATAAACAATAGTACTTCGCCCCTGTCGACGCTGCCTGGCGACGCTAAAAATATCGGGTTTTGACCGTTGCCAAATTTCAACAAATATTCCCGCTGAGGCTCGAACGTAGACACCTACGAGACGTCGTCGTCGTCGTTCAGTTTGCGCTTGCATGCACACACGCATAGTTGCATTGTTGCCCGGCTTCTCGGGGGAATAAGGAAGGGCGGCAAACGCGAGGAAAACGACGAAGAGTCGAATGGGTGAACGTTGGGGGCCTCCGAGTGCACGCTTTTCCGTTGTGTCGGCCGGCTCGCGAGCTTCCGCACTCGCGAGAAGTCGGGATGTCGCTCTAGGCCCGCGACTTCCGCCAGGACTGGAGGCATACGAACTTCCATCCGTCATCTCCGTCGCTTGAAACTCTCGAGCTATGATCGAGCCCGCGTTATCGTTGCTTCCCCACCACGCTGGACTTCTCAGGCGACCCAAACGACGCCCTAATGATTGTTCCTTGAACTTAACTCCGCGTCTTACGTCGACGACAGCGGAAACCTCGAGTGTCACTTAGAGCCTCATCCTCGGGACGGCCAAGTGAACTTGCGAAGGACCGGGAAGGGACACCTTCGGGTCGTATAGACGCGATCAGACGGCGGTTGTCCTCGCGGTTTCATTCCAAGCAAGAGACGATTCGGATGTGCGGCGGGTCCTTGTCAAAGACCGCGAGTGGATCTCGGCTCTCTCGCGGTGGGAGTGAATAATGGGCTGACAGGTGATCTGTTCTGCGGAGGGTCGAGTCCGGGGTACGGGCTTGAGGGCCGATATGCGGTCACGCGCGGTGCTGACTTACGAATCGCTCGCATACTCGGAAGAAGAAGAGCGCCGATCGAATAATTCGCGAGGTTAAAGTCGATGATAAGAGCGCCGAGTACGGTCCGAGTGCTCTTCACTCGGCTCTCACGCCGACTATGATCTTCAACAGGGCGTACTTCGTTTGTAACGACGACTACCTTGCGAACGTAAGTGCGCGATCGCACACAGAAAAATCCACACCGCGTTCGAGTAAATGTTACTTGTTTCGAGTATTTCGTGAGTTTCTATCAACGCGAATCTGTCATAAGTTTATCACGAGCAAATTTATTCAAAGTACACTCGGAATCTCAGAGAACTTATAAAGAGCATTAAATTAAATCAAAGGATTTAATTAATTAATTATTTTTCTAAATTAAATAAAGAAGTTTTAAATATAATTTTTTTTTATTTTAAAAGTTCACTACTTAATTTAAACAAATATGTTCACAGTTGTATCCAAACAAATGGTTTTGAAATTTTGTAAATTTTTTGTTATCCCCAACAAAAAATATTTCTTCATATATTTTGTCAAAATATATTCACATGTTTTCACCGTGAAAATTGCATATCTAGTCAGAAGTGAATTCATTGGTCGAAGAGCTTCAATTTTTGACTCCGCTGAATCGTTTAATTTTCTCGTGAACAGATTTCCCGGGAAACTACCCTCTGATTTTCAAGTGACAACTATTAATATTAATTAAAAACAATCGAGAGCATTAAATTAAAACGAGGATTCGGTTCACATACAACATAGTTGAGTCAACTTTTTCTTCAATGAAATTTTATACATATTCTTGTGAAAAGAATAAATTCTTTTTTTGGATATACACACTGAGAACAAAATTTACAAAATTTCAAAAACAATTTGTTTGGATACAGTTGTGAACATATTTGTTTAAATTAAGTAGTGAATTTCTAAAATCAAAGAAAAAAATAATTATATTAAAAATTATATTAAAAATAATTATATTAAAATTATATTAAAAATTTATATTTAAAACTTCTTCATTTAATTTTAAAAAATAATTAATTAATTTAAATAAATATGTTTACAGTTGTATCCAAACAAAACGTTTTTGGAAATTTAGTAAATTTTTTTCTGAATGTAATGAGTTTTGCTCAAATTTGTAATGTGTGTATGTGTGAGAATATTTTGAGAAAATATTTGAAGAAGTATTTTTTGTTGGAAACAACAAAATATTTACTAAAAATTTACTAAATTTCAAAAACCATTTGTTTGGATACAAAATTTGTTATGAACATATTTGTTTAAATTAAGTAATGAATTTCTAAAATCAAAGAAAAAATTCATATTTAAAACTCCTTCATTTAATTCTAAAAAATAATTAATTTAAATAAATATGTTCACGGTTGTATCAGTTGTACTTAAGAGAAGAAAAGTCAATTAAGTAATCGCTTTTCTCAGCAGTAGAATCTTTTTCTGTGTGCAACGGCGAAAAGATCGCGAAAGTGTTTTCACCGTGAAAATTGCATATCTAGTTAGAAGTGAATTCATCGGTCGGAGAGCTTCAATTTTTGCCTCCGCTGAATCGTTTAATTTTCTCGTGAACAGACCACTTCCCGGGAAACTATCCTCTGATTTTCTCCAAAGAACGCGCACGCGGCTCTTCTGCGGTCATTGATTGTAAACAATGCCTGGAGCAGTTATTGCTCGCGCAGCAAAAGCGTCTCGCCGTTGATAGCGCTTATCTCCCGCCGTTTGCGAATACAATTGCCGATAACGTATCAGTTTGCAGATAATCGTGCAATCATCATCGCATTAGCGAAGCTGGGAAAGTGCTTTGCTGATGAGCATGTATGATCTGAATACACACAAGTATAGATAATCTAGATATTTGCTTCATAAATGCAAAACCCGCTCGATTTCCGTGGCGAGTCACAAGTCATCCAAGTCTAAAGTTTAAATCTGAGGCCTTATTCTGGACGCGCGTTTGGCGTTAACTCATCGCTTAATGGTCTCATCTGTGAGACGTTTCTTCCTCATTATGAAGAACGTTTAGAATACATAATCTCATGTAATATCTTAATTTCCACACAATTTTATCTATATCTTCGCGGTAAATGGTTTTAACGTAAATCTAAGGCGCCTTGAGAAAATGTACGGACTGGTTTTTTAATTACCAATGCTTGTGAAATAATTATAGTTTTTAATGAATCTTCAATGGGCTTTTAACGACCCATCAAATGCGATTGTCTGACTCCAACTTACATTTCTCTCATACGAACGTAACGTGTAACATTGTCCCGGCCTGATAGCCGGGAAAAAGAATCATCAGCGTTCGCGGAATGTCCAGAACAAGCAGCCCCAGTAGACATTCGTTTCGTTCGAATCAGCATCTATGAAAGTAACGCGAAATGTCGCTGCTGCCCGTTACACGCAGATGTATGGCCGCTACACGAAGGACCTGGGTGAGTACGCGAAGGAAGAGGCACGGCGGCTCAAATACCACGAGAAGGCGAGGCGGAAGTATGACAAGACGCGGGCCGAGGAACTGCGGAAGTCCAGGCGGGGTCCTTTGTGCAGGAAGCTGCTGGCCCTGTTGGCCTTCGCCTGGAAGCACACCGGCGCCCGGCTAGGCGAGGACTGGGTCTTCCTGGCTCTTCTCGGCATCATCATGGCTCTCATCAGTTACGCCATGGACCGCGGCATCTCCATGTGCAACAACGGTCAGTCCGCTCTCTTTTATGCGGCTTTTCATGTGTCCTGTGGTGGGACTACGTTAAAATAATAGCAAAGAAATAGAAAGAAGTTTCCTGTCTGTACAATCACGTGTGACAACTCGACGAATCGTTGCACGTGATTGTATAGACAGAAAATTTTTTCCATTTCTTCGTCTATCTTTTACATAGTTCTACCATTGATTCCCTCATCAGAGGAATACAGTGTCCTCCATAAGTTTGGGAACGCAGATAAAAATAAGGATATTAAAATGGAATGCAATTGTATTATTTTATAATAATATTCTGTTTCGCGCACTTACATTTACAAGCATTTATGGCATTTGATAGAGCAAAGTTTCAGGTTTAATGCCCAATTTCTTCACCTCCGGTTAACTTTATCGGTAAAATGTCAACCGTGATTGATTAATTCTTGCCAACCATAAATATGATTGGTCAATTCCAATAGAATAACTGGCGGATAAAGTTAACCGGAGGTGGAGAAATTTGGCATCCATTTTCTGTATTGCTGTGCGATGAAGTTTAATGGAGTCATAAGCAACCGAAGTGAAAATGCTCAATTTTACTTTAACCCTTAGTAATACGGAAACACAAAATTGTAGAGAAATTTTTGTCACAAAGTAATTGTATAGAAAATTTCAATCTTTTACACGAAAGGAATTAAAATTTTCTTAGATTTTTTCTTGCGTTCGTGGCACGCGTCAAATTGAGAAGAAAATTTTCCATTTTATCCATTTCGTTTTCATAAAGGCTAAATTACACTAGCGATTGGCGATTGACGATTGGAACTTGACCAATTGGAACAAAACGCCGCCAAGGCTGAAGCTCGTTGATTCGTCAAAATCTAATCTTCAATCGTCAATCGCCAATCGCTAGTGTAATTCGCTTATAAATATAAGTGCGAAACAGAATTATTATAAAATATCCATTTTAATGTCCTTATTTTTATCTGCGTTTCCAAACTTATGGAGGGTGCTGTATACATTTCCTTAGCGCGTTTTTATGACTCGATCGTCGAGTGAACTTTTGTACATGATAAACTTTGTGTATCAGTGGATATCAACGTGGCAGGCAACGTGTCAACATTATTATAAATTCACGTGCACGCTTTCATTTTATCAGCCAGGATATGGCTCTATCACGATCTCACGACGCATCCGGCCCTCCAGTATCTGGCCTGGGTCTCCTTGCCAATGTGCCTGATCCTCTTCAGTGCCGGCTTCGTGCATATAGTCGCGCCACAAAGCATCGGTTCCGGCATCCCGGAAATGAAGACCATTCTTCGCGGTGTAGCGTTGAAGGAATACTTGACTTTCCGCACCCTAATCGCTAAGGTCAGCTGATGAGAGTCGCGCGACTCTGAAAAGTCGCCGACGAGACGCGCCCTCTCGCGAACCAGTTAGCACCGGTGTTGCTTCCGGTTATCGGATGTTCCTTTTTCATTGACAAGGGGAGGACCAGGTGACTCACCCTGGGATTTCGACTCCAATTTTTTTAATTATTCTGGAGATGAAAAAAAGATACGTGTCCCGGCGTTTGATAGAATAGGCCTTAGTTTCGGAGTAATAAATTTGTGAAAATTGGCCATATCCGAAGCGCACCGCGGCGCGCCATATGAGCCTTCCCGGTAACTGTACCTCCAACCAGTGCAGTTGACTTCGTGAGTTAGGTGCTTGCTTCATAATTCGTAAGATCCAAATTCGCTCACGGAGGTGAGCAATAATTTTTTTTTTAATGAGTGTTTTTATTTATTTTTATTTATTTTGATGATATTGATATAGTATAAAAAGATATAGTATAAAAAGATTCATTCTTTAATTCATTCACAATTATCATCGGGAGCTTTTGCAGATATGATCAAGTACGCTTGGTTTGCATCGAAATTAATTCCTGAAAGAAATGTATTTCGAAACATCAACATCAAATATGTTTCCCCCCGGACTTACGGAAAAATAAATGTGTATGTGATACTCCTTCATTTATTCGTTGTGTAAACTGTAGAAAATTTATATGCTTTAAATGCTTTTTATGATGTTTATCATCCAAGTAATTGTTCCGCATCGAAATAATTTAATTTTGTAATAAATCCGCAATACTTAAATAATTGAATTTTGTAATAAAAATATTCACATTCACATTTCAAATGTTTGTTTATTCTTCTTCTTCTGCGATTAATTATTTTAAAAACTAGAAACTTAAAATACTGTTAATATTATTTCCAATTAAATTTTAAATTTAAACAATTTGAAAATTTAGATACGTTGCCTTTATATGTTATCCATTACAAATAACTTATATATTATTATTATTACTTATTTATTATTTCAAATATTATTACTTGAATTAAAATTCCCTTAAAATTAAATTTAAATTAATGTTTAGAATGTGATATTAAATTAAATTTTCTATTTCGAAAATTTGCATATTATATCAATATTATCAAAATAAATAAAAATAAATGCTTACCTCCGTGAGCAAACTTGGATCTCACGAATTATGAAGCAAGCACCTAACTCATGAAGCCAACTGCATTGGTTGGAAGTACAGTTACCGGGAAGGTTCATATGGCACGCCGCGGTGCGCTTTGGATATGGCCAATTTTCACAAATTTATTACTCCGAAACTAAGGCCTATTCTATCAAACGCCGGGACACGTATCTTTTTTTTTCATCTCCAGAATAATTAAAAATTGGGGTCGAAATCCCAGGGTGAGTCACCTGGTCCTCCTCTTGTGAGTAAAATTGACTTGATTAAAGTTGATTTAATTTAGTTTTTCATTGCCGCGTATGTATATATAATTTTATTTCATAATTATATCTTTATTTTTATATTTTATTTCAGCATCTATTTCCCAGTGTTACCCTTCAATGAAACCAATCCGAGATCTCTAAGAGATTGGTTCTTTAACTAAAAATATTTGTGAAATAATCACGGCCTTTAACGGATCTTTAATGAGGGAAATACTTACAGCCTCCGTTGGGCTCTAATTAAAGATTCTCGAGGAGACGAACTCCCGTAACGCAGAGGTGAAGTAACAAAGATCGTGTTGTGACCGAAGGTGATCGGCTTGACGGCGACCTTAGGATCGGGGTTGCCGCTCGGCAAGGAGGGTCCGTTCGTGCACATCGGCAGTATCGTCGCGACCCTCCTCTCCAAACTGGTCACGAGCTTCCAGGGCATCTACGAGAACGAGAGCAGGAACTGCGAGATGTTGGCGGCCGCCTGCGCCGTCGGCGTCGCCTCCTGCTTCGCGGCGCCAATCGGCGGCGTGCTCTTCAGCATCGAAGTCACCACGGTGTACTTCGCTGTGAGAAACTATTGGAGGGGTTTCTTCGCGGCGGTATGCGGCGCCACGATGTTCCGTCTACTGGCGATCTGGTTCCAGCGCGAAGAGACCATCACGGCAATGTTCGCCACCAACTTCACCATGGACTTCCCCTTCGACCCGCAGGAGCTCTTCGTCTTCGCTCTGATCGGCGTCGGCAGCGGCTTGGGTGGCGCTTTCTACGTCTGGTTGCATCGCCAATACGTCATCTTTATGCGGAAGAACAAAAGCATGAACAACTTCCTGCAGAAGAAGTGAGTCGCACACGATTCTTGCTTCTCTCTTCGAGAATACGCCGGGTGGACGGAGATTTATTCTTTCTCTTCTTCTCAGCCGCTTCCTCTATCCCGGCATCGTGTCGCTTTTGGTGTCGTCCGTGTCGTTTCCACTGGGACTCGGCCAGTTCATGGCCGGCGATCTGAATACTCACGATCAGGTTTACGGGCTGTTCACCAATTTCACTTGGACGAAGAAGAACCTCGTCGCGGAGGAAATGAACATCGTGAAGCACTGGTCGACTCCGTATACCGACGTCTTCAGCGGTCTCCTCGGTTTCGTCCTATTCACCGTAAGACGACTCTCTTTACTCTCGATTTGTTTGAAATAATCGATCTTAAGCGAAGTAGATTGGTAAGAGCGGACTCTGATTTCAGTTTATCTTCTCCATCATAAGCTCCACGGTACCGGTACCGTCCGGGATCTTCATTCCTGTCTTCAAGATCGGCGCCGCGCTCGGCAGAGCGGTAGGAGAAGCTATGGCTCTCTGGTTCCCCACCGGTGTGCGCTACGGCGGAATAATTACGCCCATTATACCAGGTAAGTGCAAAATTGTCCGTCAGATATCCATGTTTTTGTCGCAATTAATGTCGACTCATAATACTTGAATGAAAAATTCTTACGCAAACAATTTTGAAATTGTTGGATTTAACACGTTTCACATGTCAATAATATAATAAAAGGTAAAATAACGCAAATAACATGTCGAAAATTAACACAAAAATGTAACACTTGGAAACTATTTGGGCACTTAGAAATGGTGAAGATAAACTCAACGCGGAATAGTCGAGATAACAAAATAGCAATATATCAAATTAACACACGTATGTTAAAAGTTTTACATAAAAATCCTTACACGGATCGATTCCAAGATTTCTTTTACTGCGTACGATTCAGAAATTAAAGAAGAAATATTGATTATGTTGACATATATATATATATAGAAATCTCTGAGAAGAAATACATTGATGCTATTATTATATTTTATTCGTCGTGTCGAGTAAACACGATGATATTTCAACGGAGAAACGTCAAGTCGAAAAGCTAATTAATCGCGTGTCGCGTTTGTCGTATTACTTTTAGGTGGATACGCGACAGTGGGCGCGGCCGCATTCTCCGGCGCGGTGACGCACACAATATCCGTCAGTGTCATCATCTTCGAGATGACCGGTCAAATCACCCACATCGTGCCCATCATGATAGCGGTGCTAATTAGCAACGCGATCGCCGCGCTTCTGCAACCGAGCATTTACGACAGCATCATCCTCATCAAGAAGCTGCCATATCTGCCCGATCTGCTGCCGTCCAGTTCAGGTAGCTCTCTTCCCGATAAATTTCCATGAATGTTGAATTAATCTCAGTTAATTAACTAACCTTGTTTACCTCGCAATGCATTCCGTTCGGACTAATCAGCAAGGTAATAGCGCGGACTCATCGCGAAAACCGCGCTTCTCGGTAAACGACTACACTTCCTCGCTTCGCCATTGTAGGAATGTACAACGTTTACGTCGAGGACTTCATGGTTCGCGACGTGAAGTACATATGGCACGGTATCTCGTATCAAAAGTTGAAGGAGATACTGAAGGAGAATCGCAAGCTTCGCGGATTTCCGCTGGTGGATAATCCAGACTCGATGATTCTGCTCGGCTCGATTCAAAGGCTGGAACTGATCAAGCTCATCGAGAAGCACATCGGCCGTGAGAGGAGATTGCAGGTAATGGGAGCTTCTTTGTCTGTACGTCGCATCCTTTGCCTTTATTGAATTGTGCCATCGCCAATCGTCGTCCCTAGGTCGCGCAAAAATGGCACAAGGAAGCGGAGGAAAGGGCGCGCGAGGAAATGGAACGGCAGCTACGCGAACAAGAGAGAACCAGGAGGCCCTCGAGATTCGAGGTCATACCGGCACCAGACATTCTCAAGATGCAGCGGCAGAGTGTTAATGATCTAACGATGTCGGCAAACAACGGCGGCGCTCCCGATCATGTGAGTCACGTTCGCATGATCGACTTTGACGTCAGTCGACGCGGGACCACCCGTATTATTGTCTAAAAAAAAGAAGCGCGCTCGTTCCTTCACGGTTACGGTCCCTTTTTTCGCGTATACGTCTCGTGAAACCCATATATTTCTCTTCTGTGCCTCAGCATACCTTCCACTCGCCGGTATTCGGCTCGCAACCGAAGAAGTCTATCTTGAAGAAGACGAATTCCTTCACACTGAAGGGTTTCAGTCCGTTGGTCAGTCCGGCGGTAACACCTTACACAACTGTTACAGGCGCAGAAAGCAGGCAAGTTACATCATTGATGTGAATTACTTCTTTTGAATTTCTGTTCTTAAGGCACCTGGTTCCATTGCTGCGAAACCTTGGGTGATGACGTGGAAAGCGAGGAAACGCATCCCAAAAATCGTCTGCGCGCTTCTGACGTCAATTCATCAATTCAGTGTTCTACAGCAAAGGAAACCAGGAGCCTTAAGATAGTTTAGGAATGACGTAATAATACGATTGTTCATATCGCAGGATACGCCTGGCATTCGAAGCAATCTTCCGCAAGTCTGCCACGTTACAGGACGTAGACCCTGATCCAGACTTAGGCACAGGCGGTGGTACCAGACGCGAAAGTCAAGAAGCTCTGAACGTGCCGCCTCATACACCCATGTTAGCACCCAGTCCGGCAACTTCGAAGAAAGTACAATTGGTGAGTGAAAACGTAGTTGTTGCTACTGCTGCTGCTTCTAGTAGTAAGCAACCTTCATAACCTTCGTATTTTCTCGTGTGTCGGACAGCCTCGAGAGAGGGTGATCGACATGTCGGCGGAGGATCAGAAACGGTGGGAGGAAAGCGAGATGGCACTCGAGGTGGACTTCTCGAGATGTCACATCGACCCGGCGCCGTTCCAGCTAGTCGAGAGAACGTCCTTGTTGAAGGTCCACAGTCTGTTCAGCATGGTTGGCGTCAATCACGCTTATGTGACGGCTATAGGAAGGCTGGTCGGCGTCGTTGCGTTAAAAGAGGTACGTTCGTGACAATTATCATGTGTTGATATATCAAAATAGAAATATTAACATGTTGATATACATATTTTCTCTGATATGTGACAATTAATTTATGTGAATTCATTCGAATTCATATGAATCGACAATTACCGTATATAAATGACCGTTAACGCACGCATCTCGGTGATTACGTATGAAACATCGCGCGATTATCGATTTCGCAGCTGAGGAAAGCGATCGAGGACGCGAACGCCGGGATCCTGCCCATGCATTCCGAGTTGCATATCGGCGTGTCGGACTCCAGCTTGGCGAAGAGCGAGACGGACACGGAGAGCAAAAACGTCAACACGATTATCACCATCAATTCCGTAGACAGCGAGAAGGTGGATAAAGTTTGAGATAGAGCCGAGTCGAGCCGAGATGAGACAAGTAGAAACATATTGTGATAGCCATGTCCTGCCGCTTCTGCGACGTGGCCCGAACGAAAATGCGAGAGAGCAGTGTTTCATCGATTTCTCTTCCCTTCCTTTCGTGATTGTTCCTTCCGCGATTCGGGCGACGAGCCACGAGCGATCGCGCAACGACAATTAACTCTCAAACACTTCTCTCGTACTTAAGTCTAAGGTGAACGAAAGTTAAACGCCAAGGAAAGACGCGAGTGTGTAAGTATAGTATTATCGTGGCGACTTCCTCGGGACTTCCTATTCAGTTCTAACGTAACTAATTGACGATTGATATTAATAGTGTGATCCGTTGCCCGCATCTGCGCGCAAACACTATCGTGCCGGATGCATGTTTACGCTACGTCGAGATTAGTAGAATTTGTACATTTGTTAAGATAATGTGCATGCATATGTATATTAACACGTCGGCACCGGCAATATCGGTGTTCGGGACAGTCATTTTATCAGAGAACGGAGCAAAAATCGCACGCTGTGCCGAGCGCCAGAGCGAGTCGTATTCGGGCTGCGAATTGCGCGAGAACTCGCAGCGTTGACGTGCGAGATTCACGGACGAGAGCGCGCATTCACAAGAAGATGCTGTGAGACATGAGTCTACTATTACTATGTAAGCCATAACTATAAGCCAATACCGATAAACGCAAGCTTTGACGGCGCGAAAGTAACTCAAAGTGCCAAAAGCGGCGACACAATACGATTCCGATGGAACGCGTAATTCACGTGTTGCAAGCTCATCATTTAGGATTACTTCTACGCCAAATGGTCCCTCAGCTAGTAATCGTTTTGCTATGGTTGTGCCACACTATTATTTATTAATATGTGATTGTTAATTATTGTTATTTAAGTATGCGAGGCAATGAAATACCAGATCGAACATGGCGAGGAAGCACGGAAGATTCTTTTTCGTCCTGCAAGGCTCTTAATTATTCGAAAACGAAGGTGAAAAATAATATCCCACCTATCTTTTCGGTGAGCATTGATTTTCAGTAACGCACTTATTAGTTTAGAATTCATTATAGGATCAGTCAAGTACGGTCGTATGTGTGTGTCGTATGGTTCTCATCTAAAAGTGTGATTGAGAATTCGGTGGATACTTTGGATAAACAGAATTTGAAATACGCGTGCAACAGAATGAAGAGTATCTTCTTGCTTGACTCACAATGTTAGATAAACAGTTAGAAAGTTAGATAGAAGATTACGCATATCGCAATTATTATTCTGATAAGCTCGTTAAGTAATCCAGACGATGTTGTTTTTACTGGACCTTGCATTGTTACGGTCGGTAAGCCCAGAGCAGCTAACGTCGTTTTAATATTCCGCTCCATTGAGTTGACTGCGAGAGTCATCGGCAACGCCCGAAGTATATATTTCACATTCCACAGGACTAGATCTTCATCATGCTAGATTGTATATTTATTACGTCAGAATTGTATGCGATGACATCCCGTTCGTCGAATGTAAATACACCGCACGTTGTGAGGAAAAGACATTAAATAATTTATTACGTTTACGCATTCATGAATATGATATTGTATTTCCTCTTACTCTTAAGGAGCAACGATACTCTTTATATCTGTATCAGATGTATCGCGATCATTGCGTAACTTTATGAAGGTAAGAATGAAACAGCACAACGATCAATCTAATGAAAAGCTCGTCAAGACTCTTGGGTATTTATCCAGAGTAGAACTCTTGACTGATGGCGAAGAAAGTAGAGAAACACATGTTCAAAATTGTTGCGTGCCATTTTAAAATGAAAATATCTGTATGAAAAAACACTTGAGATTGTTTGAGCTTGTAAAGTGCTTCGAAAACTGTCCTATTTCCTTTTACTACATTCATTTTAAGGCTATTTATTGACTGTCAAGTGTTCTTTCATTAGTTTTCTATTTAGGAATAGCAAGCGAGAATTCTCAGCATGTCATTTCTCGTATCTGACGTCGCAATCTAACATGACTGAGGTGGATATAAAGAAGCCTTAAACGCTACTTCAGCACTTTAATTCAATCTGCATACAAATATCGTATTTTGTACACAGATCAACTTGCACTTGACTACTTGTCCAGAGTGAACCAACCGTGCAGACACCTAGGTGTCGGTCCTGGTGTGTCGAAGGTGACCCTTGCGATTTCCGTGAATGTCGCGGCATCCAAAACCAACAAACCGACTCGATTATCGTAATTCTCTAGCCAGAGAAGCAAGCTCAACACGACGCCGTCGTCCTCGTTCTAGTTGGAAGCACAAAATACGAAAGGTATTTGCAAAATGTCTCGTTTTTCGGTTACAGAAAAATTTTACGAAATTTGATATTACAGAAATAATGCGATTGTTACCTTCCCGTCAGGATCAGCCACAAAGATCGGTTCGCCGATGAAAATGTTTCTTTCCTGCCACGATTTGACGGTCTTTTGGAAAGTGTCGACCTTGATGATCTGCGAACAGAATTCGTGTTGGTCCTATCCGCAGAAAAATCTCGTCTCCGTGTTTTATTGTTGAAACGCGCATACAGGTCTAATATTTACGATTAAAGTTGCAAATCGACAAAAGGGTTAGTAAGAACCGAACACTGGACGATACGTGAGCGAAAAAAAAATCGTGCATATTTACAATTCAAGATGCAAAATAATGCACCCCTCAAGTTTACAAACATTTCGGTTCTATCTTTGGACTTTTGTTAATGCCAGAAGTATACAGCTATTCGTGCGTATGTAAACAAACGGATTAAGAAAAACTCGCTAGAATTGTTTATTTAAGGCTATATTAAGACTGTTCAAGGCAAGTAAGAGCCAAATGCTGATAGCCCAACACTTACTTGTCTTGAATATTCTTGGTAGAGTTATATGTTTCGAGTTTATTTAAAGCTTCTAGTTCCATTATTACGAAACCATAGATTGATGACGCCAAAAGACTCGTAAAATGCTTCGAAAATCCTTTTCCCTTGACAGAGAAAAGTAAATAAGTTTGAAATGACACACAAACTTCCTGCTTAATTTACCTTTCCTCCTGATTTCATTCATCAATTTTAATATAGGTATATTTTAATAATTATTGACTGTCAAGGAGAAAGGATAGGTTTTGCAGCATTTTGCAAATATCCTCAAGAAAATGGCACGCAAGAATTCTTGCCATGCGTCCTCGCGCTTTCTGAGTCATCAATTTAGAGTTCCGCGGCAATGGAAACAGAAACCTCAATGACATAATGTACTATACTGACTATAGCAGAATTATTTGTAGACGTATCCTGGGAGATCGCGTAGAAGTAGCGATATTCCTTGCCAAGGTGAGAGCCGTTGATTCGCGGTAATTCGCAGAGCGAGTTACAGAGAAGCTCCGGCTTCACGAAAACGTTGCCATCTGGGAGTCGATAAGCGGTCGACTTCCTCAGCAGAATGTTTTCGTCTTTGGCGTTGAGATCGGTTTTGCGCTTCGCTTCATTCGTGTTGTGATCGACACGCTGCTCGTGAACGTTCGAGTCCGGCTGCTCCGCCAGGCTCTGATGCACCGTCTCGATCGTGATGAGATCGCAATCGGGCGTTGTGTCAGTGCGTGGTCGCTTCATCGGCAATACGAAGCGCAACGGTTTGCTAAATAACAGTTTCTCGTAGTTGGGAATTTTACTTACATCCTGCAAATGATAATTTAGCGATTATTGATACATTGCGTAGAATATTTCTGAAATTTGTCTTTTGAATATTACATTTAATGACTAACATGTAATACCAGCCCAGATAGCACAGAGAATTCAAAAAGAATTCAGTCGTATGTCATCAATTCTGTTTATTTTTAGATGCAAAAAGAATTCTTCAAAGTTCAGTTCAGTGAAAAGAATTATTTTTGCATCTAATAAATGAACTCAGAATTAGTGACATACGATGGAATTATTTTTGAATTCTCTGTGCTATCAGGGATGTAAACCACCTGCGTGGACGTAATCTTGAAATCCACGACACAACTCTATGTAGTGGAAGCATACCTTCATCGATTCGATGTACAAATACTCTATCAGCTTCGCGTCCCGATAACAACACACATCCAGCACGACGTACTGTTTGTCACGGGTCTCGAATTGATTGATCATATGAAAGAAAAAGAACGTTTCCGAGACAAAAGTTCTTATCTTACGGCCCGTACTTCTCGATATCACGTGAATGAGCGTCTGATAACAGTAGATAAAAAAATTAGCTGATTATTAAGTACCAAATAGAGATGTGCGAACTATTCGAATCGAATCAAGTGAAATTCGATTCGATTCAAATTCGAATCCGAATAATTCGAAAATTTCGAATCGAAAAGATTCGAATACGGATCGCGCAAATTAGCATTAACGAAGAACTATTAAAGACATCCAGCCTTACGGGAATTAGCATGACTTATTTGCTATACATTAAGATTTTCTTCAAAAATATTAAAAAATAACCCATGTAGCAAAAATCTCTAAAAGACTTCTTAAATAGTTCCAAAAGAGTCCTCAAGTCCTTCAGAACACTTTTGGAATTCTTTAAAAAGTCTTTTAAAGATTTATATATGCACGGAAAAAAAGGTTTGGTTGAATTAACCAAATATCTGGTCGAATATAAACGATCCAGAAATTCCGATTGGAGTAACCAGAATTCTGTTTAAGTCAACCAAAAATCTTGTTAACTTAAACAGAATTCGAGTTACTTTAATCGAAATTTCTGGATCATTCATATTCGACCAGATATTTGGTTAATTCAACCAAACCTTTTTTTCCATGTGGGAATGGCTTCTAGATAAACTCTTACCGACAACTGTCGGATCGATGTGTCGTTGCGCAGCTTTCAAGGCTGGAACTGTATTTCATACATGTTTAACGACTATGGCTGCGTTCCGAAATTCACTGTCAATACTGAAAATCTATAGTTCATGTTGCGTATACTATAGAATTTCAGTACTGGCAGTGAATTTCGGAATGCAGCCTATATATTTATTATATATCTCTTACCTCATAAAATTAATTGATTTCACATGATCAATATTATCTCTCTCACTGAAATCACTATTTTCATGTTGAATTCAATGATTATGTTAATTAAAAATTCTTTCAACGATTCGATTTGATTCGATTCGATTCAAATTCGAAATTAAAATCTGAAATGCGATTCGATTCGATTCGACATTAAAAATCTTTGATCCGCACATCTCTAATACCAAATTTACAATTTGATAAAATCGCCTCACTGACAAACTCACGCTCTTATTCTTGCGCCATTTCAGACATTTAATTATTGGCTCGTGTGTCACTTGAGTTATTAGCCTCTTGGTTACGGAGATTGTCAACGGCTGCTCCACAATAATGAAATAATTGTCGGTGATACCGAACGAATGCATGTACGAGGGGTTCAACTTCCACCTACATGGAACGCTGGCGACGATCGTCGCTTGATCGAACATGGATAACTCCTTTCTGTTCCCAATTATGTCTGCAAAAATTCGGATCAATTGACGCAAGCCGCTCTTTCGACTGCCTTATTTATCATTTTGTCTCCGAAATATCGGCGAAAAGAACGAGAAAATGCCTTACCAGTAATCACGCGACGAGGATGAAAACACACGACGTTATATTGAGGTCCTTGATTTTCTATGCTCATTCCTATGTTATAAACCGTACCGTCGCTTACTACATGAGGATGCGCGGTGTGATGCACGATATTAACATAATTGGTCAAGTTTACCTGCGTAGAGTAGTGAAATTGCTTAACACATCGCATCGAAATTATAAAGTTAATTACGATTAATAGAATTTATCACGTGCCGTACACACTGAAAAAAAGACTTGAAAATTTATTTGTGAGATATAAAGCTTATTTTTGCGAATACAGTTAATTTCTGTGAAATAAACTTTTATTCCACGAGTAAATTTTCAAGTATCTTCTTCTTAGAAAAAAAATATTTGAAAGTTTATTTATAGGATATAAAGCTTATTTTTGCGAATACAGTTAATTTCTGTGAAATGAATTTTTCTTCTACGAATAAATTTTCAAGTATCTTTCTCTCAGTGCTGAGAAAAAAACTACTTGAAAATTTACTTGTGGGATACAAAATTTATTTCTCTGTGAGGTTAACTTTATAACCCAGTAAATTCTCAAGTACTTTTTCCTCAGTGTAGGAATTTACGAAAGAGTGGATTGGAGGAAATTGAGGATATATCAACACTTTGTATAAAATATGAAATGCCATCAGAGAGAGCGTGAAATTACAATACGACAAATATTTAAGTACTGATTGATTTGCGACTTTACTTTGTCCATTGTTTGCAGAGTGTTCGGGTCGATTCTGTGCATCATCGGTACTTCCGTAAGCGTGTAATATTCGTCACCGAACGGATACACCGAGACGTTGGTGTTGTCCGTCTTCTCCTCATTGCGATGGAAAACCGAGGAAACCCTGCGAGATCACAATGAGGTGAGCGTATATTCATTCGAAGACAATATTTATTCGCGCAAAAAGAATTCGCGAGGAACGTTATCGAAGGACAGTCGCGTTCTTCACGAGATTAACGTGATCAATTTCTGATCGTTTTAATCAATTTTGTCACGTACACAGAGAGGACGATTTGATTGAATCAAATAAACACTTCTTTGGAATAATCCAAACGAATTTTTTGATCGATCGAACAAAATTTTGTTTGACGTAACAAAAATATTTATTTGCGGCTTAGTTTCAAAGAAATTTTGTTGTGTCAATCAAATAATTTGTTTGGATTATTCCAAAGAAACGTTTATTTGATTCGACAAATCATTCTCCCTGTGAAACCGTTTCACCTGTGGAAGATGCTTTGACAAGGATCCGGCATCGCTTTGGTGCCGAACTCGGTGACGACGATTCTCTGGGCGACCCTGTTCTTCTTGTACGTGTCAGTCTGCACGAACCGTCGTTGATAAGTCACCTGGCCGTTCTCAATCCGAAATCTGCGGATTGGGGCAAATCAGTGAGTTCTCGCACGCTGAAAATTGTCATTTTCGGCACCAGACAGCACAGAGAATTCGAAAAGAATTCAGTCGTATGTCACCAATTTTAAGGTCATTTTTAGGTGCAAAAAGAATTCTTCAGAGTTCAATTCAGTGAAAAGAATTCTTTTTGCATTTAAAAATAAACTCAGAATTGGTGACGTACGACTGAATTCTTTTTGAATTCTCTGTGATACCTCTGGGATACCTTTTCCCGTTGTTCTAACGAGATAATAGTAGCGTCAGCTTTATGCATAGAGAGTTTTGATCGTTAACACCATAGTAGTGCTCTCTAATTACAACAAAGATTTGTTCGACTATAATTACTTCACTGCGCCGGAAATTACAGCTGCCGATATCGAATATTTTCTTTCTCAAACGCAGAAGCAGTTGCAAACGTTGCGACACATTTGCGATACCGATGAATTGTGAAATGTATTTGATATGTAATGGAAACGTTTTATCTCTTAGGAATTAACGAAACTTGTAAAGAAAGACTTGAAAATTTATTTGTGGGATATAAAAAATTTATTTTTTTTTACTGTGAAGTAAACTTTATATCTCAATAAATTTTCAAGTACTTTTTCTTCAGTGTAGGAATCTACGAGAGAGCGAATTAGAAATATATCAATACTTTATATAAAATATGAAATACCATTAGAGAGAAAAAGACTTGAAAACTTATTTGTGGGATATAAAACTTATTTTTGCGAATACAGTTAATTTTTGTGAAATAAACTTTTACTCCACGAATAAATTTTCAAGTATTTTCTTCTCAGTGCTGAGAAAAAAGGTACTTGAAAATTTATTTGTGTGATATAAAAATTTTATTTTATTCACTGTGAAGTAAACTTTATATCCCAGTAAATTTTCAAGCACTTTTTCCTCAGTGTAGGAATCTACGAAAGATTGGAGGACGCATTGCAAAAGGAAGGAAGATTTGTCGAAAGGAAAAAAAATTCTTTACAAAAAGAAAAAAAATTCAAGTCGCCCTGCTCCTGAAGAAGTGAACTGAAATGTTCAAGAAACGTCGGAACCAAACATAAGGAAGACGCGGCTCAAGCAAAGCATTGGACAATACTGTGAGAGTCTAAAATATCGAATTAGGAAGGAATTTTTTATTTCACAGTAAAAAAAATAAATTTTTTATATCCCACAAATAAATTTTCAAGTACCTTTTTTCTCAGCACTGAGAAGAAACTATTTGGAAATTTATTCGTGGAGCAAAAGTTCATTTCACAAAAATTAACTGTATTCGCAAAAATAAGTTTTATATCCCACAAATAAGTTTTCAAGTCTTTTTCCCTCTAATGTTATTTTATACAAAGTGTTGATATATTTCCAATCCTGCAACCTTTCTTTCACTGACTGATATGTTTTCACGTTTTCATACCTGTGCACCAAAGCAGCGCTGTCGAAGACATGCTGATAGCTGTACTCGCCCACTTTGAAATTTCCCAGACCGTTTCTCAGAAGAGTGCCCTTCAGCCACTTGGGGATGCTGCCGGTGAGCACGCCGACGAGGGGTTCGATCACCTCCTCCTCGCAGTTCCTGGCATAAATCTTGTACAAACTGTAAGGCGTATGATTCCCGTTGTGATTGAGCAGATCTTCCGCTAAGACGCGAGGTACCTCACGCCCATTTTTATCGCACTGCCATAAGATAAAGAGAAGATGAGCCACTTCGTCCCAAGAAGATCGTTCGCGCGTGGTCCCTCATGGTTCTCCGACACGCGCGCGACAAACATGTCTTCTTTCCGGGAACTTACGCATGCCTTTGACGACGGCTCCACATCTTCGAAAGGGTCCAACGCATTTGATTTGAGGAATCGCGATTCGTCGGTCGATGTTGAAACGCAAGATTTGAAACACTTCATTTCGAAGCTTTCCTCTCTCGCGTTTGATTTTCAATTAATGTAGAGATTAACTGGAAACTTTCAAAGTTGGAAGCCCCCTCAAAGTCCCCTTAATCCGTGAAAAAATATTGGGTGCAGCGTTTTTAATCCGATGGAAGATATATTCTCTCAGCAATACGATAGGATAACACTAACGAACATGGAGATAATTATTTTTATGTATATTGAGATATGTATATAGATATTATGTATATAGATATATGATATCTAGTTACGTATTTCAAATGTTTGCAATTAGATATTAGATGCTTGAGTTGCAAATATAGATAAAACACATTTTTTGGGTCATACACGTGTCGTTTTTTGCCAGCGCCGGTGTTATCGTGCGACGCTATTCAGCAAATAAGGAATATTAAATATTAGTACCCCTATAGATTAGTATCCTATAGATAGCACAGAGAATTAAAAAAGAATTCAAAAAGAATTTAATCGTATGTCACCAATTCTGAATTCATTTTCAGATTAAAAGAATTCTTCAGAGTTCAGTTCAGTGAAAAAAATTCTTTTTGCATCTAAAAATGAATTCAGAACTGGTGACATACGACTGAATTCTTTTTGAATTGCTATCCGGGATGTTATATTATTAGTATATATTATTAGTATGTTGAAATGTTGATTTTATGTGTATTTTTCCAGTAAATACCATTTTGTTAACATCTTTTTTGCTAACAATCACGTAAAATATTAAGTTATAGAGTAATGTCATTTCATGATTTTTAACTGGTTCCTTTCACAAGCAATTTCGATAGTATTGGTTCACCATGTTTGCTTGAACAACACGATCAATAAGAAAAAATTGGCTATTAAAAGATGTACAAAATTAAAAGATATTTAGTAGTTTGTTGATAATATTTTTTATCGGGAAATATGTAATGAAATAAGGATCAATTATGCGCACGTCACTTTATTCTAAATTAATCTCTACACAGGTACTGTATTTTGTATACATAAATATATTTGTATATAAGTCGTAGTCGGGTCACATATATATTTAGCTCACCTTAACCGTAAACGTAAAATAAAAATCCCGTCTACAGTCATGAGAGACAGAGTTGCCAGCAACATTTGACAGTTTGACGGCGAAAAGTAGCGATTAGTTTGACGTCTGGATCGATTTGAAGTACGTATTGTTGTCCTCAGGACAACGACAGATACGAAAGGGTTAAAAAGAGGCTGAGTTTCAAAAGTGCCAATGGAGAAGTAATTGCTCACTTCGATGTATCTATTAAATTCCGAAAGATTCGTAAGACTTTGTAAGTGAATTCAGTCTTCTCTGCGAAGAAATCAAACCAACCACCCTTTCCACCATTTCAATCGAACATGAAACTATATTTAACAATTCCTGCCGCGCTCAGCTATTTATCAAGAGTAAACCAGCCGTGCAAACATTTGGGCGCAGGTCCCGGTGAATCGAAGGTAGCTCTCGCGATTTCCGTAAACGTCGCAGCGTCCAAGATCAGCAGACCGACTCGACTCTCGTTCTGTCCCCAGACAAGCGAGCTCACGATGACACCATCGTCTTCATCCTGGACAGAAGGACGAAACAATGAAGTACTTCAAGTTCCTTCGTTCTTCAGTATAAATGCAACTCATTACCTTCGCGTAAGGATTCGCTACGAAGATGGGTTCGCTGGGAAAAACATCCTTCTCCTGCCATACTTTCCTGGTCTTCCGGTACGTATCGACTTTAATAAGCTGCAGTGAAAAAGACAGTTTCTTTAATTTATTTTATTTTTAGTGGAAACATTTCTATTTCACTGTTTCATCTTTTATATTTTACTAATCAGTGAAAGAAAGATTCCACTGTAAAACTGTACACTACAAATGCGCTACATGCTGCATCAAATGCAACTTTCTGCGTTTTTTGCGATGGAATTACGGCTTCACTGTTTGCAAACTGCGTCAAAATAATAGGAACAGTCGCTACTGTCAGTAGATTCTTTCAGCGAGATTTTATTGCGGTTGTAGTGCTATACTTATAACTGCACACACAGTTACAAGTAACAGCACGTTTCAGTGGAGAACACATTGACTGTACTTTAAAAAGCAAATTTTTTTCTATCAGGATACCGACCTTCGCTGGATTAACCAAGTCTACGTCGCTCGAGATCGCGTAGAAGTATCGATACTCTCTACCGACACAGAAATCGGCGTTTATACGCGGCGTCTCGCAGCCCAAGTCGCAGAGTAATTCCGGCTTGACGAAAATCCTGCCGTCGGGAAGCAAGTGAGCAGCCGGCTTTCTCCGCAGAGCGTTCCTGTGCTCGTCCCATTTGCGTTTCACATCGTCCACGTTAGAAACGACGACGTCCGAGTCGCTGACGATTTCAAAGTCCATTTTATCCGAATCGTGACCGAGCGACTTGTCGTCAACGTTCCGAAACAGCTCTTGGCTCTGATGTACCGTTTTGATCGTGACGAGATTGCACTCCGGCGGTGTGTTAGCACACGGCTGCTTCATCGGGAGCACGAAACGCAACGGCCTACCGCGAAACATGCTCGCGTAATCGGGATTCTCGTGCATGTTCTGAAACAAACAAGAAGAATCAACGTCACGTAACGTCGATCAAGAAAAGCAATTTGGTTTATTTTTCTTCTTTTAAGCGACGATACTTTACTGATCTTTTCGATTTAAATTTTTGTTTCATTTAATATTCTTGATTTTTAAATACTGAATCTCCCAAATAAAACAGAAAATCACGATAATGCGGTCAAAATGATGAGAAAATGATCAAATCGTAATTGAAAAGTGAGTTTTTTTAATAATTTTGACATTATTGTGATCTGTCTGATCTATCAGCCCAGTCAGAACCATAACGTTGATTCGACGTCGAAATGATCGATGATGCGGTCAAAATGATGAGGAAATGATCAAATCGTAATTGAAAAGTAAGTTTTTTTTAATAATTTTGACGTTATCGTGATTTCTGTCTGATCTATCAATCCAGTCAGAACCATAACGTTGATTCAAGGTAGATTCGACGTCGAAATGATCGATGAGCCGTCGAATTAATCTTGATTCAACCTTCATCGACGTCGAATCAACCTTGAATCAACATGTGGTTCTGACCGGGCAGGATTTCAAATGTGTTTTAAAGAAATCTGAGACTTATGATAGATTTGCGGAGACGCAAATTTATAAAATATTTGAAACAAGTAATATTCGCTCAAATGCAGCATCTGTGATTTTCAGCGAGTGATTGCATACTTTCATCGAGTCGATGTACATGCACTCCAACATCTTCGGGTCTCGATAACAACATATGTCCAGAACGACATACTCCCTATCGCGAGTCTCGAACTGGTTGATGATGTGAAGGAAGAAAAACGTTTCCGCGACGAACGTCCTCACCGTCTGGCCGGTTTCCCTCGACATCACATGGATGAGCGTCTGACGATAGGAATAACAATGTGTTAAAATGTATTATTACGAGGTAATTACTAATGATTTGGTCTCAGTTTGATCTCACATTTTCATCTTCGTGCCATTTGAAGCTGTTGAACATCGGCTCTTGTTTAAGGTGCGTGACCATCATCGAGACCATGGAGATGGCCAACGGTTGTTCCACGATTATGAAGTAGTTCTCGGTGATGCCGAAGGTGTGCATGTATGAAGGATTCAGCATCCACCTGCACGGCATGCTGGCAACGATCGTCGCTTGATCGAACATGGAGAGCTCCTTCTCCTCGCCGGATTCGTCTGCAATAGCAGCATAATGATAAAAGTAATAATATTGATAAATATTTACAATTCGGACTTCTCCGAATTTTTTCAGAGCTGGAAATCATGATGACGTTAAAATTATAAGAAAATGATTGAAAGGATCACTTTTCAGTCACGATTCTATTTTCTCGTCACCTTGACGTTATCGTGATTTTTTGCCCTTCGCAAGAAGTGTCTTACCAACGATCACACGACTAGGATAAAAACACACGACGTTGTATCTAGGTCCGAGCGGCGTCACGCTTAGTCCTACGTTGTAGACCGTACCGTCGGCCATGACGTGAGGATGCGACGTGTGATTCACGATATTTACGTATTTGGACACGTCTACCTGCGGATACAACGTGAAGACAGATTATTCTACGAACGACACGTCTACAGACAGGTATTTATATCGAGTATAGTGCGCTGGAAGACATCGATTTCATTCAGTAACAATTTAACCTCAGGAGTGACTTCACCCGGAACAGTTTAAATGTTTACCCTGCTCGTGGTTTCCAGAGTCTTCGGATCGATTCTGTGCATGACCGGCGCTTCTGTGAACGTGTAATATTCATCACCGAAAGGGTATACCGAGATCATGGTGTTGTCCGAGAGATTCTCTCCGGGATTAAATACCGCGGCTATCCTGAAATCGAAATTACATCAAAGTGCGTAAAGACTATTTGAATATAAAGTCGAGTATAACATTTCCCAGACAACATAAGATCTTCAGGGGATATCCTGGGGACGTTCTCAGAACGTCTTTAGGATTTCCTGTAGAAATTTTTGCTGTTTGGATTATCTGAATCTTCTTTTAAACAACGATACTTTATTGATCTTTTTGATTTAAATTTTTTTCATTTAATATTCTTGATTTTTAAATACCGAATCTCCCAAATAAAACAGAAAATCACGATGATGTGGTAAAAATGACGAGGAAATGATCAAATCGTGATTGAAAAGTGAGTTTTTTTTAGTAATTTTGACGTTATCATGATTTTTGTTCTATCTGATCTGTCAGAATTTCAAATGTGTTTTAAACAGATCTGAGACTTTGCAACAGATTTGCGTCGAGCAAATATGTATAATCTTTTAATTACTTCCTCTTTCTCTGGTCTGGGGTTAGGAATCCTTTGACCAATTGCGCGCTGGTAGATATGAAAGATTGTCGTTATATAAAAGAAAAAAGAAAAAAGAAAATAATCTTTCAATTACAACTTGCTATATCGAATATTGAGGCGCCACTTCATACCGATTGAACAACTCACAATCGATCAAGTTTCGATAGTCTCGCGTGCGCGATAATTCGATAACTGAGTTCAACTTCAACTTCAATATTTGGCTTCAGGCCTCTCTAAGAGTTATGCCCCAACGCCATTTTTCCGATTAATGATATATTTCGAGAGTAAAGTCTTGGAAAATTTCAAGGCACGTTCCAAAAAAATCACAAGGTCCAAACTTGTTCGAACACGTCTTGTCGTGACGGCGGTTAGGCCGGGACTGATGATAACCGAGTTATCAACACGGATTATTTGACCTATGTATCGATATTGATCAAGCGAATCGATCGCCATTCGAGAATTATAAGAGGGAGGGACAGGGAGAAACGGGGAGAGATGGGGAGAGATAGGCAGAGACAAGGAGAGACAAGGAGAGACAGGGAGAGACAGGGAGAGACAGGGAGAAACGAGGAAAGACAGGGAGAGACAGAGAGAGACAGGGAAAATAGGGCGAGACAGGAAGAGACAGGAGAGGCAGAGAGAGGCAGGGAGAGGCAGGGAGAGACAAGGAGAGACAAGGGGAGACTGGGAAAAACAATACAGATTAACGCGTAACGGATCGCGGCCTCAGTTGTTTGTATACACTGACAGTGAAAGTTTGGTACGCGAGCAGCAAACATCAACACGTGAGACTCACGAACACGGTCGCGTGAGTGTGTGCGTATCCTCTCCTGTGCTGCTCGCGAACCGGAGTGTCTATCGCTGCATACCGACGCGATCGCGTCAAGTTTCCAGACGTCGATATCGCGGGAGCTCGAGTCGTCGCTTCATTACCTGTGGAAGATACTCTGGCAGGGATCTGGAGTGGCTCTGGTGCCGAATTCGGTAACTACTATCCTCTGAGCGGCCATGTTTTTCTTGTATACCTCCGTTTGAACGAAACGACGCTGGTAAGTCACCTTGCCGTCCGCAATCCCGAACCTGCGAATTTACGCGGACCGGTAAGTTGTTGACGGACTTCTCGTGTGCTTTCGTATTTCCGCGCTGTCGCGACACACCTGTGCACCAGGGCGGAGCTGTCGAACAGATGCTGAAAGGTGTATTCGCCTACTTTCAGATTGCCCGGGCCGTTTCGCAGGAGGGTGCCCTTCAGCCACTCGGGGATGTTGCCGGCGAGCTTGCCAGCAAGGGGCTCGATCACCTCCTGTTCGCAGCTTCTCATCCACACTGAGCTGTCGCAATCGGCGTAGTAATTGCCGTTGTGGTCGTCGGAAACATCTCCCGAGTCACTAGGTATCGCGTTGTCATTCTTGTCGCGCTGCGAACAGAGAGAGACAGAAAGTGAACCACGCGCGTTGACTTTCTCTTTTCGCGCGCGATTTGTCTTGTGGTTTTTCCCCCCCTCCTCTGCAAGGAAACACAATATAAAAATATCAATATCTAGGGTTTATTGTTCCAATTTCTTGGTAAGCTGCCTAATAGTTAAATCATATAGTTTGTCTTTGTCTAATTAAAAAAAAAATCAAGACAGATACATGATTTAACTGTTACTAAGAAGTTGGACTAATTGGCCCCTAAACATGTGCCTAATCCTGAACATTCTTTTTGTTTTGATCTTTACTGTAAGTCTTCGCTTTACCTTAATTAATTAATAACTCGTTTACTTGTTCATATTAAAAAATTTCATTTCAATACTTAGCGATTGGTGTGGGCACTGTAAAAAATCCATATATTCTATACATACTATGTATACATTTTATATATATAGATCCAGATATTATATTTTATGAGTATACGCATAATATTATAGACAAAGATTCCTATATTTATAATATAACAGAATGTACTTGGAATATTAGTAAGATTTATCTTTGTGCATATGTAGATCATTTATGTAACTATAAAATTTTTCTAATATTCATTTCATTTTCATAGTATTTCACATTGTAATATACCCATACAGCACAGATCTTGCAGCAATATTACAGCAACATTGCGGCAACACTGCTGCAACTTTTAACATTGCTGCAACGTTGCAGCAATGTTAAAAGTTGCAGCAGTGTTGCCGCAATGTTGCTGTAATATTGCTGCAAGATCTGTGCTGTATGGGTACATTTATTATAGCTTATAGTAAATGATATGTATCTACAAAAATAAAATACTTAAATTATTCCTTTATAATTGCAAATAAAAGCAATTTTGCTTATAAAAGCAAAATCAATATGATTAACCTAAATTTGGTAACTATTCTATATGCACATTCATAGGATGTTATATAATATAATATTATATTATAATATTATATAATATTATATAATATTATATTTTATAAAGTAATATTATATAAAGTACACTCTGTTCTATTATAAATATAGGAATTTCTGTCTATAATATTATAATATAATATTATATAATATTATATATTCTATATATTCTATGCTGAAAGTTCAAATTTTCATATTTAAAGATCAAAACATTACGAATATTCAGGGTTAGGTGCGTGTCCGGGAATTGATATTTCGGCTCATCTTCTCTTTTTCCTTCAAAAACTTACGCGAATTTTCATTGTCTGCGACTCACTGCACTTAATATCTCTGAAAGTATCCAGCGTGTTCGATTCACGACCTCGCGATTCGTCGAGCGACGTCACGAGGCAATGTTTAAAACACTTCATCTTATAATTTTTTCCGCTCACATATTCGATTACACTGAATCTTAACGCAATCCGCTGTGATAGTTGTGTTACGGGAACTTTGCTGAATTTCCTCACGTGTTGATTCTTTCAGAAAATCAGAGGATCGCTCGCAACCCGGTCGAAAACGTTCGTTTGACGGCACTGACGGTTCACTCAGCTCGTGAGATGACGTTTCAGTCTTAAAAGGTATCAGGATATGGATCATTAAGCAAAGCTTCAAGCAATACTTGACAATTTGATTAGAGTCAACAATTTCAGATTACACGCGCTCGTCTTCGTCCGCAGTTACGTTATTATCGTCGGCTGTCATTTCGGAATCGAGCGGCTCTAAGATCGACGATAGAATCTGGTGCACTCTTATGTGAGTAAAATCCATCATTCGCGACGTACGTTTCAATAACGAGTGACCATGTCGCGACTCTCCTCGGCCTGTTTTGGCCTTAAAAGTTAATCTCCTAGTATGATTTTAATCCAATTATCGAGCAACACTAGTTGATCGAAGCCTTTGATATAGACACGTGTCACATGTGCGCGGCTTATTGCGCCTCCGTAACACGGTGACACGTGTGTCAGGAGAAACGTGACACACTTTTCTATTAAAAGGTGCGGCGCGTGTTCCAGAAACAATTGCAACAAATTTGTTTTGAATGCGTTGTACCAGCCAGACATCGCGCTGCGCAGTAGCTTCAGTAAATTAATTAATTAAGCGATTCTCTCATGGACGGTAGTATTTATAGTCGGGTTTTATATTTAAAATTGTCTCAAATTCATACATTTTCAATACAAAATATTTATTTGATCATGAAGCATTTAAAGATGAACTTAAGACGGCCTTATATATGCGATGCGACTATAAATATTGGCCTACAACTCAATTGTGTTATTCGAGAGGGACGATTTTTCGTATATATATTTTACGCTTTGAGAAAGAAATATCTAAAGATAAGAATTATTTATTCGATGAGTATTAAAAAACATATTTATTAAATTTTTTTATTGAAACAGAAACAGTTGTTTTTACGAAAAGCTAAGGCTTTAAGAAAATGTATATTTTCTTATCTGATAAATGTTTTATATTATTTTAAAAGTAAATACTCTGATGGAAATATTTTACTCTGAAAATCTCTTTCAATTGACTCCTTTTTGTTAAAATTCATTACATTCATAAAATTCATTAAAATATTTCAAGATTAATTAAAATTCATTAAAATTCGTAAAATATATTTTATTGTTAGATAACAATAAAATTAATTGTATGAATTTTAATAAATCTTAATGAATTTTACAAATTTTAATGAATCTTAGTGAGTTTTTCATAATTTTAATTAATTTTAATTAATCTTAAAAAATTTAAATGAATTTTAGTGAAAAGGGATCATTTGAGGGAGATTTTCAGTAAAACATTTCCATCAGAGTATATTATCAGTACTTAGTGTGAATAAATATTTTTTATTTCTTAGATACTTTTCTCATAGATATTTTAGAAATATTTTAGAGATATTTTAGATATCATTAGATATTTTTTATTTCTTAGATACTTTTCCTCATAGTATATTCAGTTTGTTTTCATCATATTGATAGGTAGAATTCGCTCTACAGATGTTCCATTCATATTTTTATCGTGTTTTATATCAGAATAATTACACAAGAATATTTTAATTTACGCGCATTTTTCGAGTAAAACCGCGAAAGAGCGGAAGGATGGTAAGATGTCTACTTTATCGATCGTGCAATTTTCTTCCGTTGCAGTACACATCGTCGCCTGCCGAGGGCGACACAAGTCGCTGTTCTGCCCGCGTCAACCGCGTGCCTTCATTCTTGCTTTCTCGGGAGGAAGATTCGATACGGCACAATGTACAATTTATTACGTTGTACACACGACACTCGGCAATTTAAGAATCCGAAACGACTTGATTCGATAGACACCCGCGGACGTCGTCAGGTGCGATGCCCGGTGAATATTCTTTACGCCCAACGTAAACTTAACCTAACCTAACTTAACCTAAGCGAGAAACACTCGATCGACATATTGAATTTCAAAACTGCGATTCTACGTGCGTATTTTTAGTCGAACGTTTTCGCTTAGTGTTTCACGACCATCTCCGCGGATACTGCGTTTTGGAAACACTCGAAAAATTTGCTCACGGCGACGTTATCATGCTTTCGAATACGTCCTTTTGTGCAACATTAAGAGCGAAGTTCTCGAGAACGTCGCGCGTAATCGTCGAGTACCTTCGCGCTGATATTGTTATGTTTTCTGTTTGGACAGGGAATATCTCACGTGCCCGGATCATTCCGTAGTTATCGCGCAGTAGTTACCGGAAACAGGCTGGCGATGTCGCAGCGCGAAGAAGGTGGCTGATCGTCGTCGTGCGGCATTCGGAGGTCCTCGAACATTACCGGATAAAGGATAACACACAACGCGGCGACGAGAATGAGGACGACGACGACGACGACGACGAGGACGAGAACGACGTTAATCACGAGCGCGCACACCGACGACTCCTGATCGAGGTAAGGCGTCGAATTACAAAAGTCGAATCGCGGAATTGCAGCCGCGACGCTTCGACGAATTCACTCCTTGGCCTCCTGCCAAAATATATATTTGTGGCTCATTGTTGATATCGCGTTGAAATGAGCGATATCGAACAGAAATGTTTTGTATGCATTATCAATTTTTTACTTTTTATCATATCTTATTATTTCGGTTTTATTCGTTTTTTTCCTGTTTTGTTGACGAAATCGCAAGTGCACGCGGCGTAATCGATACGGCGCGACCTTCCGAGGTGTAATCGATTCCGCTTGAGAGGTGTTAACGCTCGTAACACCAACACGGAGCCATCTCAAACACATCTGTTTTTTATCATCCCACTGAAGACACGCAGTCTTCGACCGTATAATTAACCTGAAAATAGCGAGGGAACAAAATAAAACGAGAAAAAGAACATGCTTTGATCTTGATACTTCGGAAAGATCAAAATGCTCGATACAGAGTGATCAGAATGCAATCGATTGCGCTTGAGAGAAGTTACTGCTCGTAACACCAATAGAGAGCCGTTTCTAACACATCTGTTCTTCGTCATCCACATTGAAGACGCGCAGTCTTCAATTACATGATCGCATAATTAGTCGGAAAATAGCGAGGGAACAAAGTAAAGAGAGGCAAGGAACGTTCTCTCGTTTCGGCATTTCGAAAGGTCAATGACACGACGCGATTATTTGTTTCGCGGTTAATCGCGAGAACGATGATTACTGCACACGGTTGATTTGTGAAGCGTGACGTTACGCATACGTGTCTTTAATGTAGCGGTAAATCTGCAGAGAACCTTCGACGTGAACGAAATGTCAAGGCCGATAGCTACAGTTTCTCTTATCTCGGCTTCATGAACCGAGCGTATTCGCGTATGGCCGCGATACCTTCTTGCTCGCCGCGAGTTTCGAGTCGCATTCCTCTCGCGAGTAGAATTAACTAGGTGCTTGTGCAACATTTGCAAAGGCTCGAACCGGTCGTTGAACGATAGTGATTTGAGCGCGCGCGCGATTCCTTAATCCGTTCGCGATGGCATCGCGACTCCCGCGGCGAACATCGCGAACGCGTGCACGCGAACCGCAAAAGCAGATGTGTCGGCGTGTTAACACGCTTGCTGTCAATAAATCTCTGGTGACACACTGTCAACTGGTTAAGATAAACGTGAAAAATTGCTCTGGTTTGTGTGAGACGTACGTTATTGCGGCTCGCGGCTTTTCAGGAACGATAACATTCGCAAGTTTTTAGCTGCAGTTTTATTATATATGTTTATATAATTACATCTTCAAAACAATGTAATCTTATACTTAGTAGAATCTTCTTATATACACTCGTCGGCAAAATTATCGCATAGGTAAATTCGTGTCGAAATTTCGTACAATTTTAAATGAGCATAATACTGCGAAACGTTATCGTATTTGAAATATTTTTTTTTTTTATTTTAAAGAGTGAAGTCTGTAGTTTAAGGAACATTGATTTTGAATTTATTCTCTCTCCTTCTCGCAGTCTTTTCAAAAGTAAAGACGTGTTGCGTCTCCAAAAAATTGCAGTAATCCGAATTCTGTTTAAGTCAATCAAAAATCGTGTTAACTTAAACAGAATTCGAGTTACTTCAATCGGAATTTCTGGATCGTTCATATTCGAGATATTTGGTTAATTCAACCAAACCTTTTTTCCCGTGTAATTTGAAAAAAGTCGTGTCTCTGGCTGGTTGCATGACGCACAGTTGCAAAATCGACTATAACCCCGTGTAACCTCGAATTTCGATCTGCAAGAGCTCGATAGCAAATATTTCTCTCAAACACAATGGCATATTTTATTTCAAAAACTTGTACTTTATTCGTTTATCTATTAAGAAGCAAGAAAAACACACACTGAGAGAAAAGACTGGTAACAATAACAAACTGCATTTAGTTACAGAAACTCATTGAATCCTTAGTAACTAATACTAAATATGATAATAATTATCAAATATTTAATAGATCAGGAGTATGACGTAATTGCATTTACAGTAACAACAATTAAATAATTCAGTAATAGTTACTTAATGTTAAATATTTAATATGAAATATATTAGTTATGAACAGATATTTGATAATTGTTATGAAATCGTTATATCCCATATAATAAAAAATTCAGTAGATACGAGTTCTATTTTGTTACCAGTATAAGTATGTTTTGTTGCAGCACAACGAAAAATTCATTCATTTGCAGCTATTATATCGTTTCAATATCTATTATTACAGATAATTGGTTGAACCTATCAAAA